CCGAAAGAAGGAAACAAAAATCCGGTAAAATAAACCCTCTCTCCGCCTCGTTCCCTTCCAACCCACGGTGCGGATAATATTACAAAACTATCTAACAGCGGGAGGCGCGGAATAACTTATCTCCTATTATGCGGGCCGGCCTTTGTTCCCAAACTTGACAGCTCTGAAACTTTCTCTCTCTCTCTGTCTCTCTGTTTCTCTCTTTTTTAAAAAAACACAGCAACCCGGGTCTTCCCCTTGCGAAAATGTTGAATGAGAATCAAGCTATGATCCTCCGCTTCGTCTCCAGGCCCTTCTTCCTTGCCTCACCCCCCCCGCCACCCTTTTCACTTAAAAACAAACAAATAAACAAAAAATCTCCACCAAAACAGAGAAAATAAGAAAATAACAAGAAGGAAGAAAGGAAGGAGAGGTGGCGCAGAATTGAGGAGACCCGGCGGCGTCTTTTTCTGTTTCCATTCCCCAGCATCAGTTAAACACACACACACACAAAGAGAGAGTAACAAACCCAACAAAACCACCCCAAAATATAGTGTTTGCTTTTTGTGGTCGGGAGAGGTCCCCCTCCCCTTCTTCCCCCCCCCCTTTCCTTTCCTTCTTTCGGCCTTGTTTGGGGGCTTCAATAGACCACGGAGGGCCTTTGTGAGCGAAGTTCATCACCAAGGTTGAAGCGGGGGATGATGGAGGAGGGGGGGCTGGGCAGAGGAAGGGGCCAAAGTTAGATCATTTCACACCCGGCCATCCACGCGTTTTTATTTTTCTCGCCTCCCTTCTCCACAGCTTGCAAACGGGCCGCTTGCTTACTTGCTTTCCTTTTAACGAGATGGATTACCTGAAGCCAGAATGTAACGCTCCCGGGAACGCCCGTCCCAAAACGCGTTCCATTTTTTTAAAAAACCTTCCTGGTTCTACACTTGGTTTTTAATAACTATTTCCTCGGTGTGTGTGTGTATGTGTGTGTATTTCGAAGCCCCTTCCCCCTTGATTTGGGAAATAAAAACCCTCCCGAACCAAATGCCATTTATCCCTGAGAAGGGAAGGAACGAGAGGCGACAAGTGGCCGATTGGGATCGGAAACGGACTCTGGTGGAATTTCGCGAAGCGGAGAGGAGATCTCTCTTTAAAAAATATATATAGGAAACGGACTCTGGTGGAATTTCGCGAAGTGGAGATCTCTCTTTTTTTAAAAATAAATAAATAATAATACTCAAAGCTAAAATAAATCACTCCCTCTTCCCCGCTTTCAGAATTAGACCCGAGCCAGGCCTCCTCGCGAGTAAACCTCTGCGCGGGTCGACTCGCGAGCAAGTCCCTCGGCGCGCAGCCAGGGAAAGCGGGCTCCTCCCGGGGGTTAAAAAGACACACACACACACACACACACGCACGGCTTTAAGAAAGGCCCCTGGCGCTTGTTTATTTTATTCTTATTATTTATTGTGATAGAGCCGTTTACGTCTTTAGAAGAAGCAAGGCCGAACGGAAGAAGGCCGAGACAGCGTCCTCTCTGCCTTTTCTCAGCCAGCCGCTCATGGCAACACCTCCAAAATAAAATCGGCATTTTTTTTTGATCGCCTATTTTGTCCCCTGCAAAGGGACACCGCGGGCGCGGGCGCGCACACACACAACCCCTTTGAAAGGTTGAAACTTGACAGCCATCCATCGGAAACACCCAGCCAGCCAAAGAATCCCGCTTTTAAATGCTCATTCTGGGCGTCAAAAATAAATTTATGTTCGCTCATTCAGATTTAAGCCCCTCCAGCCCCGAGTCCAACAAGAAAAACCCTAACCCTTACCCAGGCCAACGTTTGTGCAAATCTGGGTGACTATAGAGCCCTTCTCCGTGTTTTTTCTAGCAAACACACACACACACACACATACACACACAAACCCAGAACGCAATCACAGGAGTTTTGAAACACAAACCCAAATACATATATTTAAAGACAAACGGACACAGTCGGGTCAAGAACAAAACGAGCACGAAGCGGTGAAGACCAAAGAATCCAGGAGGAGGATAATCTTAGAACAGACAAATGTAAACGGTTGGGGAGGGGGGGAGAGAAGAAAAAAATGGTCAGAAAAAAATAAGGGGGGAAAATCCAAAACCTTGTGGAGCAATTAAAACAAAACACCCCGAGTTGAGGAGTTCCTTTAATGGAGTCCCCGGAACATCTCACAGAAAGAGCCAAAAAAGGAGGCTTCTGAATTCTGGAAAATAAGAAAGCTGCCCTTTTTGGGGAGGGGGTGTTCTGGTGATCTTAAAAAAGATATTTATTATCCAACTCTGTTTTTTTTCTCCTTAATTGACCAAAAAAACCTCAGAAGGGTTTGGAACCCGTCTCCCGATCCTCTCTCAATCTCTCTCTCCCCCTTCTGCTGCCTCTCCCCCCCCAACCTCAAGATACACAGGACCCCAAAGGATAATTGAATCTGACACCCCCCATCAGTCAACTGTCAAAAGAGGTTTCAGGGGACCGTTTAGAAAACAGCAGCAAGCAAAGAGGAGGCCGATCTGTTTAACAAATTCATTTAGCAACCCCCACCTCTCACCTCCTCCCGCAGTCTCCACCTCTCTGTAAAAGCAGCCCCCCCCTTTAAAAAAGAGAGATCGGATCCTGGGTGATTCTGGGTTTTTCCAGCCAAGAAGGCCCCAGTCCAAAGATTCGTCTTCCTGATGGGAGGC